GCCATCTATAGTTTGGTAACGAGAAACGCCTTGGGAAATGGCATCAGAGAAGGCCTTATCGTCCGCTCTGTGGGCATTTTTCAGTTTGAAAGGCAGCCCAATCTTTGATCACCACTGACATGTCGCATTCGACAACCATCAGCGAGTCTGAGGCCAGCTCATCGAGCTCTGGTGTCTTTGTTCGGGAGATCGCTACAACGTTTGCATTGTACTTGTGCAGCAAGTATCTTGTGACTGCCAGCCCAATGCCTCTTAGGAGCGTTCATCAGGGTAATCTCAAACAGTCAAGGGCATTTGCAAATACTTGGAAGCCCCAGTGACAATTACAACGGGTTTCATACCGTGATAAATTTCTGAGTGTGCTTTGTTGGAATTCTGAGCTTGTTGAATTTGTGTTGTCCTGGCCATAAAATATTTGAGTCGTTAAGATCGCAAAATCTGTCCAGATTGTGCAGCTCACCTGGGTAAGTGGGCTGGGTTACGCTGAGCAAGAGGAGACAAGAGTGGACACCGGCCCGCGCTCCGTGCCGTAAAAGGCAACCCCAATCAGAATGACCTGGCGCAAAAATTCGGCGACCTGACCTTCTTCAACTCTCCTCCACTCCTCCTCCCTCCAACCATGATTCCCCGGTTCCCTATCAGCCGTCTCGCTACCAGGTTGGCCACCGCCCGTCCTACCTCCTCAGCAATTTCGCGAGGAGCTCTGCGCGGCATGCGTGCTTATGCTTCCGAAAGTCAACAACACACCGTCAGTCGCGTCCGAAAAGAAATTTCAACAGTAATATTCTGACACTATTTTAGATGACAGTCCGTGATGCTCTCAATGCCGCTATGGAGGAGGAGATGATTCGCGATGAGAACGTGTTCATCCTTGGTGAGGAAGTCGCGAGATACAATGGCGCCTACAAGGTATGCTGGCGTACTATGAGTGCTTACCGATAGTGCCCGAACTGAATCAATGTCGACTTCAAGGTGACGAAGGGGCTCATGGATAAATTTGGCGAGAAGCGCGTCGTCGACACACCTATTACAGAGATGGGTTTTGCTGGTATCGCTGTTGGTGCTGCTCTACAAGGTCTTCGACCAATGTAAGTTCCATTCGCCCGAAATTCAACTTTTGAACTCGACAATCTAAACTTCTTTTTTTCCCCTAGTTGCGAGTTCATGACATTCAACTTCGCCATGCAAGCCATTGACCAAATTGTCAACTCAGCTGGCAAAACCTACTACATGTCCGGTGGCAACGTACCATGTCCCGTTGTGTTCCGTGGGCCCAATGGAGCTGCCGCTGGTGTCGGTGCTCAGCACTCACAAGATTATGCAGCATGGTATGGTTCAGTTCCTGGTCTTAAGGTTGTCAGCCCATGGAGTGCAGAGGATTGCAAGGGTCTGCTCAAGGTGGGAAACTCTAAGCGAATATTTCTTTGAGCCTAGGCTTACTGACATTGTGCTCAAGGCCGCTATCCGAGACCCAAATCCAGTCGTCTTCCTCGAGAATGAGATGTTGTACGGTGTCAGCTTCCCTATGTCGCAGGAGGCCATGTCAGACAACTTCACGCTTCCCATTGGCAAGGCCAAAGTCGAGCGGGAAGGAAGCGATATCACCATCGTAGCTCACAGCAAAATGGTCACACACAGTATGGAGGCCGCTGAGGACCTTGCGAAGGAGGGCATCAAGGCTGAAGTTATTAACCTCCGTAGCATCCGTCCTCTTGATATCGATACCATCCTGAAGTCAGTCAAGAAGACGAACAGGCTAATGATCGTTGAGGGTGGTTTCCCTATGTTCGGAGTCGGCAGTGAGATTTGCGCGCAAATCGTCGAAGGCGAGGGTTTCGACTACCTCGATGCCCCAGTCGAGCGGGTTACTGGCGCTGATGTACCCACACCCGTAAGCTCATGCTACCTCTCTAAAAATTCCTTATCGCTAACGTTACCTCGCAGTATGCCACCAATCTCGAGAATCTCTCATTTCCCGATACGCCACTGATTGTTAAGGTCGCAAAACGTGCACTCTACCGCACGAACTGATTTTACATGTCTTCTCTCTCTTTCGACCTTCGGATACTGAGGTGGGACAGGTCACGGTAGTTGCATTACTCTTTAGACACTTGTGATTCTCTTGCTGTATCGTACTCACTACCACCTGTTAGATACTCTAATTCACATTATATACCTTCCTCCATGAGATCGATATGATCTATAAGATTACACCGAAGATTTAGCCGCTTCATTGAGGCGAACACGCACGGCGTTTGCATGAGCCGACAACCCCTCGCAGTCTGCAAGTGTAACCACCACTGGCCCGAGGGCACTCAAACCTACTGCTGTGATTTCCTGGGATGTGATGTGTTTTTGGAAAGATAGAGTATTGACTCCGCTGAATTGTCTCGCATAGCCATTTGTGGGAAGGGTGTGATTCGTCCCGGATGCGTAGTCACCACAGCTATGCGAAGGTTAGTCCGAAAATTGTCTTATGTTTGCAGAAGCTGACCTTTCTGGTGTGAAAGCACCAACGAAAACACTGCCCGCGTTCTCGACCAGCTGCACCCTCTGGCTGGCATTCTCGAGATGCAAGATGAGATGTTCTGGGGCGTAATCATTCGAGAATTCGAACGCTTCTTCAACAGTCTTCACTTTAATGATCAAACTCTTCGCAACTGAGACACGGAGAATGTCGACCCGGGAGAGCGCATTGGCTTGTTTGTCGACTTCCTCTTCGATCGCGGTGAGATGCTCAAGACTCAGATCCACGGACACGAGGACGACTTGAGAGTCAATGCCATGTTCTGCCTGAGACAGCAAATCGGCTGCAACAAAGGCTGGATTGGCGGTGCTGTCCGCTATCACCTATAGAATTATTATTGTGAGTTAATCCTGCATAGATCTCGCTCTAAAAACTTACGAGGACTTCAGAAGGACCTGCTGGCATATCGATGGATACCAAAGCGTCCGTGTCGTTTTGTACCAGCATCTTCGCCGCTGTAACCCATTGATTGCCAGGCCCAAAGATTTTGTCCACCTTGGGCACCGTTTTTGTACCATACGCCATTGCAGCAACGGCTTGCGCGCCTCCCGCCTTTAAGATGGCAGATGCGCCGACGAGTTGCGCGACATACATGACCTCTGGCGAAATGCTGCCATCTGGTCTTGGAGGTGTAGCTAACACAATTTCCTTACACCCGGCCACCTGTGCCGGTATTCCGAGCATCAAGGCCGTAGATGGTAGCACAGCTGTTCCTCCAGGAACGTACAACCCCACTCTTGCGATGGGCCTCGCGAATCTCGTACACACAACGCCTGGCATAGTTTCAACTACAAGCGGTTCATCACTTTTCTGGGCCTCGTGGAACTTCCGGATGTTTGCATACGCCACATCAATTGCCTTGCGCACCTCTTCATCCAGCTGCATCGTTTCAGGCGCGTAAGGTGGAAAGATAACTGTAGACGACATTTTGGCTTTGTCGAATTTGGCTGTTAACTCGAGAAGAGCTGCATCCCCACGTTGACGGACTGCATCAACGATGGGTTTGACTTTAGATATCATTTCTTCTGATTTGAGGACGGGGCGACGAAGGAGTTGACTACGTTGTTCGTGGGTGGTTTTGGAGAGGTCAGAAGTGCGCATTTTAATTGGGCCTGGGGATGGTGGGATTTCTGTCGCTTTCTTCTCTGCGTTTGGAAGAGGCGGAGGCTCAGAGGGTTCCACAGGTTTGGATGCCCATTGTGGCTTTGCGTTACCAGAACGTCGCGTTATCCTCTTCGCCTTTTTGTCCAAAGCGCGTTCAATATCGAGGATTGAAACTCCGTTTGCCATGCACTTTGTCAATGCAAAGTATAATAGGTCGGCTGCTTCGAATGCGACGTCCTCCGGTGTATTTGCGTTGCATAGTTCATCGGCTTCCTCCATTATCTTCGATCGGAGCAGTGCAAAATCATCAAAAAGTCGCTTGGTATATGAGCCTTCAGGAGCGGATTCAAAGCGCGATTGTAGAGTTTCTTCTAGCAAAGGAAGGCCACTCGCTTCGCTGAAGCAGGACTGTCTATTCAGGTGACAGAAGCCGGCTCCGTGCTGGATAACTCGAAATTCGAGGCTATCTGAATCGCAGTCCAACCGAATGCGGAGGACGTCCTGCGTTGCCCCAGACGTTTCGCCCTTCTTCCAAAGTCCGTGTTTTCTGGACTGGTAGACACCTTTACCGCTGGTGATACTCTCTTTGATGGAGGTGACAGAGGAATACACCAAGCCGAGGGAGTGCCCGGTTTGAGAGCATACGACGGTTGGGAACAGACCATCGGGTCTGTCTGAAGTAATCGGAGCAATGAATGCATCGGTGACATTTAGGTGGGTCGAAGAGGTGTGATCAAGTGTTAACTGGGTATCAGGGATAATGAAAGTAGCACCGATCCTATTAAACTCTCGAATGTTGGAAAGGGAGGGATACGAGCCGCCAGAAGAAAGTACGTATATATCGGAACCTTTGAAAAAGTTTGATATCGACGAGATGAGATCGAAGTCGATTGTCCGAGTTTTCAGTAGCACTCCCGAAACTCCTTTACTGATGCTGTCCGTGACTGCGGAAGCGTTGGCAATGTCCAGCAGAACGATGAGCCGCTCAGACGGGATGACCCCAATGAGTTCTTTGGCCCAAGTTAATGGTACGATCACTCTTTCAACACCCTCGTCAAGCCAGTCTGCAACTCCCTGGACATCGACTTCCGTGTCGGCATCCACAAGCAGGAAAGTATGTTGAGGTGGTTGCGGAAAGGGAGTAGAACGCTGTACGTCAATTACAACTGGACCAATTCGATCGAGAGCATAGAAAAGCGATGGATTTTCTTCGGTTATCAGAGGCAAAAATACTGACATCGCGGAGATGGTGATACTGTAGTAACTACAAGTTTTCTAGGATTCCGTCGGCCGTAAATACAGCTAATTATGGCTTCATGGTTCCTCGAGCAATAGCATTGTCAGTACTTTAATTTATCGATTCCCAAATGGCTTTGTAGTGTAGCGGTTATCACTCAAGATTCTGATTCGCTCTGATTTCTTGTAACCCCGGTTCGAATCCGGGCAAGGCCTAATTTTTGTTCGCTGTCCACTTGACTACATATAGCCCAGACTTTCAGAATCATGTAATGCAGAATGGCGCAGCGACCATCGTTCAAACCACCTTTTGAACTTGCGTTGGAGGAGATTTTATCTTTGGAGAATTGGATTCATCTGCTATATGCTATGGTAGATATTTAGAATACATTGGAGACCCTAATTTAGTTGGTGGTTGCGTGAGTAAAAGGAGTGTTTGCAATGCCAACGCGCTTATTCGATGTATCATATACGGAGTAGAAGCGTTCGAGGAAAGCGTATCCGTTGATAAAATCAAGACCTTGTCCGGAGTCGGCGCCGAGATCAGCGACAATCAGATAGATGCTATTTGAGGAGCCACCGATTTCTGTGTTGAGAGATCGAGGAAAGATTTGAGCGTTCGGAGTCAGTTCGAATGCAGTCTACAGACATAAAAGTATTAGTTTTTGATGTTAGGTGTTACAACAGGATTGCTTACACCGCCGATGTTGAAGAAGAGACTTTGTAGGTTGGAGTATTGTGACGGCGAGATTTGGAGCAGGCCAGTGGCGTTATCAAGGACAGCACCGGTAGCGGACACATATTTATTATATGCATCGGTAGCGAGGAGAATAAGTGTCGTGCCGGTATCGACGATACCAGCTGTATTAGATAATATTTCATTCGAGGTTCCATATTTGACCGACTGGTCTATACCCCAGTACTCGGACGCGGGAAAGGTACTAGTGATCGGCCTGAGGAAGAAAAGGTAAATTCTTGACCAGTCTCTGGAAATTGTTGCTTACACATAGGTAATATCCCCGGAATACAAAGATGAATCGACGCCTCCCCATGTGAGTTCGCCATTCGTGACTTGTTCGGTGGTGGTAGGTTCAAAAGAAATACTAAGGACGTTACTGTTGATGATACCAAGGCTGTACAAATTATCGGTTACAGTCGGGATAGCCTTCGTGCTTCCCGGCGTGAGGGTGCCAACCGTGAGGTTGACAGGTCCAATACTATTATCAAAATGTGAGAACTACAGTGAGTCGGGAGATAATGGAGAATATACCCCAAAATACCGTCAACACCATTGAACCCAGCCGCGGTAATCTATAATCGTCAGAGCGAATTTTTGGTGGGCAAAATCTGCAGCTCACAGGCGTTGCAACACCAATAGATTGTTCAGGAATAGTAAGACCAGAACCAAGGGACACTTTATCAATGACTTCCAGGCCACTGAACGAGCCTGAACCATAAGTGACTGACTTTGAAACTTTCAGGATTCAACTATTGTGGAGTAGAAAGCCTTTGTGACTCACCACTGCGTCCAGGGTGGGTTTGGTTGTTAGTGACGGGTGATAAAGATTGTTAATTTGAGCGCCGACCCAGGTATTTGAGCTGCACAAAATATTAGTCCTCTGCTAGTGCAGGGAATTATTGGTCCTTTACCTTCCGGTATCAATGAGGAGCGAGTCTTATGTTGAGTATCAGAATCGGCCTTTCTTTCTGCAGAGAATGAAAACTTACATGTTGTCGCTGGGTTGCCGACACTGACCGAAGCAACGTAAGTCACTGCTTGGTTGTCGGCTGGCGAACTGATAACACCAGTGCCAGCACCACGGGAGGCCTTCAACTGCTGAGCTCGGGCTCGATCATGGCGGACGAGGTTATGAGTGCTTGTAAGGTTGAGTCTACGAGTGAGGTCTAGGTTGACAGGCGCTTTGTCGACAAGGATTGGACTGGCTGAGACGACCAAAGCCAAAGAAAGAGTGGACAACAAAGTCTTTGAGAACATTGTCAAAGGAGCTGTAGCTAGTTAAACGAGAGGAAGGTCGATGGAGGTCGATGATCAATAACCCTGACAAAGGTCTCCAGTTTTCATACTGGCAAAGCAGGGTTGACCAGCAGCATGTGTAATATTTAATCTGTCGATTCAGTTGATTACTGCTTGGGGGTGATCTTGTTCGACAAAACCCAAATTTGGTCATGTCAATAGCTAAAATTGTGGAGCATGGCCTGTCTCTGACTATTTCGGAACCGACTAGGCAGCAGAGCCAATGAAAACACTGATGATATGATCATAGAAATCATTTATAGATGAGGTTGCTAGGTAAGTTGAGGAGCAAGAGCGCTGCAGAGTAACCGAACCGAAAGAGCCCTTTGTTCTTTTATAATTGAATGTCGTCATTCCCTCATTGGCTTGAGGAAAGTCGTACATTACAGTAATCAAAAGTTTACAAGAAGATTCAGATAAGCTGAAATGCGGATGAGTCGCGAAAACCTGGTTTGCGGTTTTGGGACGTTTGAGAGCACGGTTGTACTCGTAGAGAGAGGAGGGTTGAATAATCTGACTTCGAACATGAAAACTATTTTTGTCCAATTCTCACACCAGCGCCAATATGAGTCGACAGACACATCAAATACATCACGGCACTCGATTTTCTGGTCAACATAAACCCCGAGATTCTGGAAAGTTTCACGTCCATCGTAAAACTTGAGCTGTATGCAGACCATAATAATATTTAGTAAAAATAGAGCACACGTGAGTGGTTATGCATCGCCATACGAATCAGATTGCTTCATCCGAGTCGAAACGTTTTGAGGATGAAAAACGCTCTTTTACGTTATGAATTTCTGCTAGCGTGTATTTATTCGCTACCGCGCAAGGGGGTAAAGTCTCGAAGGGTTGGATCTTTGTTGATTCTTCATGAAAGTGCACGATAATTAAGCTCGAGAAATCTGAATTGTGCAGAAGAGTTGGCCATGGAATGGTAACTACATCCATGTTGCTTAAGATTTGAGCTAAGCCATACCTTGATACGAAATGATTTCATACAGTCCGTCAGTCAATGTGTCGCTGATTCAACGTCTCTCCTCGGACTACGCAGCAAGAAAAACCATCACACAAGTACTGTGTCCAAACCGTTTTGATAACGCCGCTGCAGCTCTCGTGTTGCTCTGTCATGATATACACTCGAAGAGTAGTCAAGCGATCACTAGCTCGGTGCTCAAGTCTTCTTTGTTTTGAGGTAAGATTCGGTACGGCAATGGCTAGTAAAAAAATACAAACAGTGATCATGGAGTTCTTTCTAGAATACATTTCTACGCGATAAGTGACATCACCCGGTTACATAGGAGTTGGACGTTGCTTTGGTGTAGGGAGTGTTTGCAATACCGATGCGCCTGTTCGTAGTATCGTAGACGGAGTAGAAACGTTCGAGGAAAGCGTATCCATTGATAAAATCGAGGCCTTCTCCAGAGTTGGTACCAAGGTCGGCGACAATCAGGTAAACGTTGTCTAGGGTGCCGCCAATGTCAGCGTTAAGAGAGCGAGGCCAAATTTGAGCGTCAGGAGTAAACTCGAACTGAGTCTACCAAAGATAAATAAGTATTAGTTCGTTATATGAGATGTCAAACTAGGGTTGCTTACTCCGCCGATCGTAAAGAATAAATTTTGTAGGTTGGAGAATTGAGAAAGCGCGATTCTAAGTAGCCCTGTGGTGGTATCAAGGACAGCACCGGTAGCGGACACATATCTTTTGTACGCATCGGTGGCGAGAAGAATGAGCGTCGTACCGGTGTCGACAATACCAGCGGTTGTGGATAGAATTTCAGCTGAACCGTACTTGATAGACTGATCGATCCCCCAATACTCAGACGCGGGGTAGGTAGTAGTAATCGGCCTATGAAAACGTGAATCGTTGGACATGGTCTCGAAGTTTTGCAACTGACGTATAAGTAATATTTCCAGTGTACTTGGAGTCATCGACGCCTCCCCAGGTCAACTGGCCATTCATGACCTCTTCGGTGTTGGTTGGTTCATAGGAAATGCCGATGAGGTTTTTGGAGATGATACCGAGACTGTACAAATTGTCGGTCACAGTCGGAATGGGTGTCGTTTCCCCCGGAAAGAGGGTGCCAACCGTGAGGTTGACAGGTCCAATACTATCATAAAAAGTGAGCTATAGCACCCTGATTCGAAAAATAATAGCAAATATACCCCAAAATACCATCAATATCGTCAAAACCAGAAGACTATATTTGTAAGAGAGAGTTCTCAGAACACAAAAGCAGCAACTTACAAACAATGCGGCACCGATGGATTGATCAGGGATGGTAAGACCGGACACAAGAGATACTTCGTCAGTGTATTCGAGGCCAGAGAAAAACCCTGAGCCATAGGTGACAGACTTTTGAAACTTTCAGGATCCAACTGCTGTGGAGTAGAGGTCTTTTCAACTCACCACCAACTCCAGGGCATTTTTGGATGTCGACGTTGTGCTATACGGGTGATGATTCGCGCCAACCCAGGTGTTTGAGCTAGACCGAAAAAATCGACATTTACCGAGGTAGAGAGTTACACGTGCTTTACCTTCCGGTATCAATCAGGAGGGAGTCTTTATGGCATGTCAGAATACTCACAGAATGTTCCTTTCTCTAAAGGCGAGGGATAGAAAAAGCTTACAATTGGTTGCTGGCTTGCCGACCTCAACATGAGCGAAGTAAGTGACGGCTTGGTTGTCGACAGGCACGTTGACAACTTCACCGCCCGTATCACTGGCAGCCCCAAAGGCCTTCAGTCTCTTGGCGCGGGCTTGATCATGGCGGACAAGATTGTCAGAGCGGGTAAGGTTAAGTCGGCGGGACAGCGCCACAGTGACGGGAGCCTTCTTGACGAAGGCAGGACTGGCTGAGACGACCAAGGCTAAGAAAAGAGCGAACAACAAAGATTCTGAGAACATTGTTAGTGTAGCTGGTTGAACGAACGAACGGGCGAAGGGCAACACTGGGCTAATCCTTGCAGCATTTGTACCAGGTCAGCTCAGCCGGCTGACCAGAAGTATTCGAAGAGTATGGTATACTTGGACTGGTGGCGAACACGTTCGACATTGACCAGACTCAAATCAAGTGATGTCAGGTTGGTCAAGAATGATTGTTCGAAGACTAGGGTGGCTTGGATTCAAAAAACAAAAACAAAAAGAGAAAAGACGAGGGTGGCTAACTCTGAGCTGACC